CATGCGGTAATTAGTGGCATAGTAATCGCCCCCTCCCGCTGCCCAGCTGGGCATTATAAGGAAATGGTTAGACTTTATTTCATATCACACCCTACGGCAGTGCTCACACGGGGGCTCTTGCAAGGAGATTTTTAATTATTAAAATATAAGGCACAGGGGTTTAAAGAGACTCAACCCTAAGGAAGAGTTTCATGGAAGTTGGAGCCCCACCACCTGGAAATGAGGATCTCACACTGTTTTCTGGATGTTCAGGGAGGAATGAGACTTTCAAGTCGTAGACATGTATGCACTCAGCCACTTATTTATCTAAAACTGTATTTTGAGTGCCGACCACAGTGCAGGCACTGGGCTGTGCCCTGGGGCTATCAGGGCAGCGAGAAAAATCTACGCCATCCCTGTCCTCAGGGACCTCACAGTGGAGTGTGGGAGACTCACAGCGAGATGCCAAAGCACAGCCAGGAGAAGTGTTGGGAAGGAGAGGCATTCGGTGATGCTATGAGAGAATTCACGGGGGCATGAGGCCAAGGTGAATGCGTCAGGGTTCTGTGACCAAGGAAGCGATGGAGATGAAAACCGAGAGATGGGTAAAGGTTAAGCAGGCAAAGGGGAGGAAGATGCCAGCATGTGCCAAAACCCCCTGTTGTGGGGGCAGAGGGTACAGTGAGAGCAGAACAGGGTAGTGCAGGTCAAGCTGAGGGTTAAGACTCGGGAGACTGAGTCATGCTAAAGCGTGTTGTGCTCATCCCAAGAGCAGCAGAAAGCAGGCCAAGGTTGTACATAGAGTGAGCTCATGAGGACTTTAGTTCTGAAAGAACATTCTAGCTGCAGTGTGTGGCACAGACTGGAGTGAGGCTGGGGTGGGCCCCCAGAAGGTGTATTAGCTTCCTATTGCTGCTGTAACAAATTATTTCATGCCACAGGTGATTTTCAAGATGTCCAGAGAGGTTGGTGGCTCAGAGATGTAAGATGTAGTGGTGGAGGTGTCGAGAAGCAGTCAGGTTCAGGATATATCTGGAAGGTAGAGTTGATGGGACCATTGATGCACTGGACATGAGCCAAGGAGGGCACTGGAGGCATGGCATGGGTTGACAAAGGCATGGAGGCAGGAACGAGCGCCGAGGGGCATG